AATCGGCTGAAATGTACCAGTCATAGAGAGGGAAGATATGGGACACCAGCGAGGTCGCTAAACTCCTGCCAGGCAACCTCATAAAAAGGAAACCCCGATTCTGAGAAACTGGTTTCACTACTTCAGTCTCACTTATCACCAGCTAATCCCACAAATAAACTCTTAGTGGGAGTAATAAGCAAAAGCAAAGGTCATAGGTCTATAGTCGTGAAATTATAATCTGTGTTAGAGTTTGTTTTAGGGCTCTGCTTTTATTTTTTCATCAAATATTTGTTGTCAGGGGATATATCAAACAAAAATCACTGTCCTCCCCCCCCCCCGGAACTCATATGTTGCTATAAGACTTAAAAATGCATGCAAATTCATACAGTTACACCAGTTTTCCAACTTCAACCTCTTTGCCCTGAGTCCCCAGTCTCTTCAGGGGTTAGTTAACAAGGTTCTATGTCATACTCATCAAGTGCCTAGCCCTGTACTTGCCACTCAGATGTTGATTTCAATACAGTTTAAAGGTCATAAAAACACCAAAATTCACATTCAGTTGCCTAGTATGGTGGGTGACATTTTCTGAGACAATTGTGACTCACTGTTGTGTTTTCCAACTCACTTATCATTAATGGGTAACACTTAAAAGGATGGAATTAATGATTACCTAATGATGCTGGAGAAAGAGAGCAGAAGATGGCATTCATCACCCCCCCCAAAACACAGCATCATCATAATTCCATGCCTTTTAATAGAACTTCATAATTTTCAAAGTGCCTTTACACATATTTTCAATTCTTGATTGCTTAGAGCTTTGATAGGTCTTCCCCCCAAAAACTGAAAACCAACTAGAAATCCAGATTAATTTTAAAACATATGTCTTGGATGCCCATTATGTGTAAAACACCTTGCCAGGCACTAGAAACCTACCAACGAACAAGAGAGACAGGACCCTCCTCCTCAGGGGAGTAAAAACAAAGACACAGAGAACTGAGGGAGTCAGGGAGGGACCCTGAACCAGTCTTGGAAGTTTTCCAGGGGAGCTGAATCTATGCTTGCCCTGAAGGACAAGTAGGACCCTGGTTAGTGGAGGATTTTTAAATATTAGTTTCTCATTGACCATGTGACAGAATGAACATCTGTTCCATTGTCTCTGGGGACGGTGAGAGATGTTGGAAAGAGCAGGTAATTCTGAATATTAAATTATAACCCACTAGGCAGTCGGTTAGATGAAAGAGTCTGGTTTTATAATCTTTCACTTTCCATGAAGTCACCATATGCTCACATTTCAGCTGGGACACGGACCTAGGGCTGAACTGCTTGGCAGCTGGTGACTGTTTTTGTTCCATTAGATTAAAATTACTTCTCTTTTTTGATTATATACACACAGTCAATGGAAATTGTTTTTTAAAGTTGGGGAAGGCAGAAAAGTATAAAAAAGAACAAAGAAATAAACACTAAAGCTACAATTCAGAGAGTATCATAATTTGCATTTTTAAAAGTTATTTCTAGTCAACACTTTTCACTGATACAGATACTTATTCATTCATATTGATAACTGGGCTCCTTCGGGGTATTTCGGAAGGAGAAGAAGGAGCTCACAAAGGCAAGGCACAGCAGAATCAAATGAGTAAGTTTTAAAATACGTAGGTAGTTTGGTTTTTAGTTTTTAGGAGATAATGGTTACTCCATCCTATGAAAAGTTGTAAGTCCCATGAAAATCTGAGCTTTGCATGATTATATTATTATCATTATTATTATTTAAAATGACTTTTGAGGTAGCTATGTTTTCTTATCCTTGCTTTACAAAGGAATAAGTTGATAAATTCAACAAGTTAATGGTAATGGATAACACGCCCAGTTAGATCCAGGTACCATTTTGCAAAGAGTTTCACTTACCTTAATGACTCTGGATCCCAGAATGGAATGAGGCTCAGGTATTACTTCTGAAGAGAGTGGTTTAATTTAAGAGGGCAAAACAGAAGTGGTTTGATTAACACTGAAGCTTTGTAAGGAGAGCAGATACTGCTGACTACACGGCCTTCGTTTGTGTTGGCCACGTTGCTGTGCACACCTATTTGGGTGTGGGCTGCACTGAAAAACATTTTCCCTCATGAATGGGGGAGAAGAACTGGAAAGGGTAAGAAGAGAACCAAGTAGTCTGGAAGCTAGATAAGGGACCAACTACAGACAGGGAAAATCTCTGACCACATGGTGAACAATAAAAAACATGGAAGAAGGAAATGTCTAAATTTTTAAGTTTTTTTTTCCTTTAGTTTGAGTTTATGCATTCACTAATGCTTTTGTGAGAATACACTGCTCTGAAGGAACTAAAAAAAAACGTGGAGTTTCATGTCTGGGTCAGAGCAGCTGATTGTAAAGATAATTTATGTGGATGAAGACTGAGGATGGAGAGAGAACTTGGTATTTGCATATGGGGGTGCTGGGGGAGTGGAGACAGGAGTTGATAAGTTCCCTCTCCCTAGATTTGTAGGAGGCCCCAGCTGAGATTTGAGTTCCAGATAGATGCAAAAATTGCAAGCAATATGCACAAATAGTGGCATGTCTTATGGTGCTAATGTGAGCTACCGATCCATCCTTAGGGCATTATGACTAGACACCTTAATGACATCAGTGTTCCCTGGGGAAACTTTTTAAGCCTATACATCCTTTTGTGCCTTCCATCACATTGTTTCCATTGTCTGAAAGGCCACTCTCCCTTTTCTCACCTCAACCCTTCACCACTCTCTATGGAAATGCTACCTATTCTTGACTTAGCAACCTGGACTCAGTTTCTCTGCTTGTCTGACTCCCTCAGTTTATAATCCTCTGGAATGCAGGAACTGTGTGTAGTACAGGGGTTGACATATGCTAAGCACTTAATGACTTATTGATTCAGTGACCAAATCATGAATAAATGAGTAAATGAATGACAGCAAAACTTGAGTCCCACCTCTTTTATGAATTTTCCTGCTATATACCTATACTAATATCCAGCTTACATGAGGAATATTATTTTAATATATACTAATAATATTCCATTCCCCTTACCACATTTATTGGGTACTTACTATGTGCAGGACACTACAAGATCTCATTTAATCCTTACAACCGCCTCATGATTCTTTGCTGCTAAGGAAATGAGAGTCTCAGGGAAGGTAGGTGACTGAGCCAAGGTCATGCAGCTGATAAGTGACAGACCACGATTTATATCCAGAGCACGGGCATCCACAGCCCACTCTCTTTTCTACTTACCTTACAAGTTCTGCTCATACTTCAGGGCCAACCACAGACTCAGCTTCCTCAGAAAACCCTCCTGCACTTGTGTCTTCATTTTCTCATCTCTCCCTACTCGACTGTACGTCCTGTGAAGCAGGAATCTTGTCTCTTTTCTTCCCATTTTATGTGACCACCATCTTGTGAAGTTATTGGAAAAAGAGATTTCTGTTGGTTAGGGTTAGCCTGGCAGACGATGAAGAAACGATGGCTCAGGGATTTGTCTAATATTACACAGCCACCCACCGTCAAGGTCAGGGGTAGGACCCAGGTTGGGGCTATATGGTGAGCAATTAAAAAGAAAACACGGAAGAAGGAAATGTCTAAATTTTTTAGTTTTTTTTTTTTCCAGTTTAAGTTTATGTATTCACAGATGCTTTTGTGAGAATTGAGAGTTGAACTCTCACCCCAGGCTTCTTCTCTGGAAAAAAAAGAAATGCCTTAGCAAAGCCTTCTGCAAACACTCTGGAGCAGCTGTTAGTGCTCAGAGAATTCCAGAACTGCAGGAAACCACAATGAGTACCTAGCTAAGTGTCCTCCTAGAGTGAGGAGGCGGCTCACCCAAGGCTGTGAGCAAGTCAGTGGAAAGATGGAGTAACGAGAGCGGGGAGAGAGCGCCCGCGGTCAGAAGGGCTGGGGTCTGGCCCCGGTCTGGCCCTTAGGTCTTCCTGATGGACAGAGGACAGAAGGTGTAAATTATCCAGATCCGAACCAAGCTGATAATGTCTTTACTGTCACTGTCCTTGGCCTACGTGAAGAAATAGCTTTTCTCTTAGTTTTCCTCTCCATTTATTCTACTTGGCACAGACACTGATTGGATTGCTTTATCATTTTTTTTTTCTTGACTTGTGCTCTCTTGAGGCCTCCTGGCTGCACCTCCAAGTTGCATCTCTCCACCCCCAGCCACCCGCTGCCCAGTGCCCCCCATGCCGTCCCCAGTTTTTTGTTTTCATCGTGGCTGCCAACTTGTGTTGCTTGCCTCCCTCTCAGTTGGGCTCCTCACGCACCCAACTAAGGCCATTTCCTGGCTGCCATCCTGACCCAGTGCTGCAGTTGCTAAAATATTAATGGTGCCCTTTGTGAAAAGTACCACTGCATAGCTTGTTTTCAATTAAAATTGCCAGGGAGATGGAAACAATGAAATGGAGGAAATAAAGCAAAACCATAGTTGGAAAAAGAGCTTCAGCATTAAGGCAAAGGAGGGCATCCTAAGCTCTGCCTTCCTCTTCCCCTCTGCCTTGCTAGGGTCTCACTGTGGGAAATGCAGCACCGCTGGCCACTGCCTTGGCTTCCTAGATGGGGTGCATAACAAGGTGTATGACCCCTGTGGTTTTGCCTGGCTGCCTGCTCTCCTGGGTCCCCTGGGAGAGAAGAGAAGGGAAGGACAGCATAGATCTGAAAAGAAAAGGTAAACTGTGTGGATAAAGGAAAGAAGGGCTTCCTGTGGTTAAAAACCATGGGACGTATTGGTGGGAGGAAGTCTGTAGGATGCTTAGGACGAATCAGGCTAGATGCAAAGGCAAAGAAATGTGGTTGCACCCTTTGTCCAACCCTTAATGAATGCACTTAGCACTTTGTTTTATTTATTGGAGCCCTCAACTGTACTGTCTTAGTCACTATTGTACCCTGGTGCCATGCACGGTGCTTGGCCCAAATCACAACGCTAAGCTATATTTTCTGAATGGCTGGATGAATAATTGGAAAGGGGTGAGGGGGAGAGCAAAAACTTACCCTTAACATTTGCAGCATAATAAGTGTTCATATCTTTATTCCTTTTATGATGAAGAGAATACAGAGGGCTGGGGACAGAGTCATTACAGGAGGATGAAAGATAGCGCTGTCTGTGCAAAAGACCCCCCTAAACTACACAGAGAAGAGAAGCAGACCCCCAGGGCAGCCTTTCCATCCAGGAAACTGAGACTAATCCGAGTGAGTTGGCCAGCAGCTCTACTGGCTACAGGGCATAAGCCAGCCTTCCCAGGTACCAGGGAGTCAGATGCCTTGTCCGATTTCCCGAAGCAACCTGGCCACTCTCCTTCCCCCACCAAGTTCCTAATTTGAGTCCCATTCTCTGACTCTCCCTCCCTCTCTGTTTTTGTCTTATTTGAGACCAGTTTTCACAGGTTCCTCTGGTTTCTGTGCTCACCTTCATCACTGGGTATGCTAACAGTCTTCTCACTTAGGAAATTCTTCCCATCCTCAGCCTTTCGGCACCCCCAACCTTTCTATAGTCGCATTTTGCCTCCGAGTCTCCTCCCTCCTGCACTTGACCTTCCAGGCAAGCATGCTTATGTGGAGGAGGGGAGTGGAAACATGTGCCCTTGAGGCAGAAGGTCTGCCTGCGGTGAGGACCCTGGGTCCTGTTCAACCAGACATAACTGCAGAGAACCTTCATTGCCAGCTTCCTAATTTTCACCCCTTCACTCCACTCCACTGGACCTCTTCTCGGATACTGCTCAGCGCCAGGCAGCTCATTTGGTAGTAAAAGAAGCATCAAGGCTGTGACAGGTGTTCCAGGAACAAGGCTTTTTTTTTTTTTTTTTCAGGCTGTGAGCAGGCACACTGTATGCATGTGTGCAAGAGAGCCATTGTCACTTACATAGAGTGGCTGCTACGGAACATGTTGAAAGTGAGAAATTGTGGATTTCATTATAAGTGTGATACTAGTCAGAAAGGCCCAGAGAGCTGGCATTGCAGCAACAACCAGCTTGAAGAGAAGAAAAGAGAGCAGCAGAAACCGCTTAGGAGTCCCAACTGATGTGAACATAGGTGGACGTCCTCCGGTCTCCTGGCCCCCCTTCCCCTCACCCAGACTGGTAGGTGGCCGATCTAAACACTTGCAAATTCACAGTCGTAGTCCGTCATCCGGCACATTATGAACTTCCACTGGCGATCCCTGTGGGGAGAGAGTCAGAAAGCTAACGTCTGTGAGAAAAGACACCTTAGGAAGACTCACTGCTGAGGGAAAAGCAATGAGCGATCTTTGGAGAATTTAGGGACACCCACCCTAACCTCACTTTCCTCCCGGAAGACATCGCTATGAAGTCTCTAGAGAACCTCCAGGTAATCGTCTGGGAGGTCAGGCGTCCTGGACACCTCCTCACACAGTTCCGGTTGCACCTAGGAGGGGACTAGCCAAGTTACGGCGTGTGGAGGCCCTGTTCATCACTGGTGCTCAGCTCCCCACTGCTCTGGCCCGAAGGTACCTCTTGGACATACAGGTTAACCATCTGCTCATCTATTCTTTCTTTTCCTGAACACTTCCCATGTGGTAGGCTTCATGCTATAGCCTATGTATTTCCCGTCAGAAAACACTATTACAGGGAAATGAAGGGGGTGGGGGAGACAGCTCTAAAACACCCGTCATTCTTGCATAACAGAAATTGAATTGTGTATTTGTTTAAATGGCCTGGCATGGGTATGAAAGGACATAGAATTGCTCTATTTTAGATGGGGGAGGGTATAGCTCAGTGGTAGAGCACATGCTTAGCACGCATAAGGTCCTGAGTTCAATTCCCAGTACCTCCATTTTTTTTTTTTAAAGATTTGCTCAACTTTGAAAAACGTGGTGTGGATATATTTCAAGGATTGCTCTTTGCTAAGGGCTAGCCTAAGTTCTTTGTTCACCCATTTAACAAAAATTTATTGAGAGCCTACTCTGCAGGGCACTCTTCTGGTCTAACATCGTTTAACAATGATAATGATAATGGCGATGGTCACTGTAACTGCTATTTGCTGAGTCCTCCAACATATCCAGCATCGCACTAGATGCTTTACATATTTTCTCATTTAATCTTCACGAGAAGTCATTGTTTAGGTGAAGAAACAGACTCAGAGAAATGTGTCTTTCATTAAGATAATTAGGAGACAACTTCAGGTTCCAAGTTTGTTGAACTCATATCATGCTCCTCCCCCTGTCCCACAGTGCCTCCGTAACTAGGTGCCATCACCCCATCGAGGACATGGCTGTCACATCCTTTGCAAAGTCTTGACAGAGGGCAAAAAAGAAAGAGTCATTCCGTATATGATGATGCAAATCCTTTCCAAACCGAGCGGGGTCATTTAACCTTCGAGAATCCTTCCTTTTCAGTCTGCAGGGGCTCTTCCCAGATCAGTTTCTCTTAAACACCAACACTGATAAGACCTCCATTCAGCCTTGAACCTGGAAGGTGGGACTGACTACTCTCAGTTCTGGGGGATAACTCTTGCCAGCAGCTTCGGTACATGCTGCTCAGACAGCCTAAGGCAGGTTTTAGAATTTGAGTCTGTTGCTCCAGGTTGTTTACTTAGAAGAAGTGGGCACAGGGTCCCTAGTACAAATCTCCAAGAGCCTAGATAACCTACTATTTATTAGTATTTATTCCTGCAATTGTCAATAGAGGGCATGGCTTGTTTCAGATGGAGGTAAGAAAATTGGTGGCATGTGTGTTTATCAAACACATTTCACTATTGTAGACAAGTCTTATTTATCTGTGTGCCAACAGACACAGGTATATAAGAGCTTAAGCCAGGCATTCACACTATTCCTTCAAGAGGCTGTCAGTTGATGCTAAGAAAAATTTAGACTTGACCCTACAAGGACCAAGGGACTCAGTCAGGCTCAGTCTCTGATCTCCCTCCTGGACAGTGGTTCCCAAGCAGAGGCAGTTTTGCTCTCTAGAGTTTTTTAGTTCTCACAATTGTGGAAGAGGGGAGTTGCTACTGCCATCTCATGTGTAGGGGCTAGGATGCTGCTAACATCTAGAATTATCTGGCCCCAGATGTCAACAGTGCCCAAGCTGAGCAACTCCATTGCAGGAGGAAGCCACTATGATTTGCATATGGAGGAAAAGTTCCTGCCCGGTGTGTTCTGCACTAACAATATTTCTCCAAGGCAAAAGCCTCCGCATCTTTCAGCAGAGTGAAGGGAACCCAAGTTGTGGATCTTTAAGCCACTGATTGCTAGTGACGGCAGCAAAATTGCATGGGTATATTCATTCTAAACAAATGCATGACATAATATTTCAGTTTTCCAAGATTCTGGATTAAGCCACATAACTGAAAATTTCCAAGCCGATAGCAATTGGACATTTTAACTGCCAATATATATATATATATTTTGTAATAATTGTGGGTGGCATTCTTTCTTTACTGTATTCCTTCCTGTCTTCTTAAGCAGAAAAGGCAGCACTAATTTTCCTGTTGACTTAGAGACATCATTAGGAATACTGAGCACCCTGCTGTACTGTAATCCTGTGATGCCCTTTGGGGCTACACACCCCTGCGAGATGTCACTGGGCTTCCATAGCCTTTGAGTTCTTAAGTCTTTCCTTTCCTTTCTTTCTTTTTCTTAAATACATTATTGTGTGTGTCACGTCATTCAGCTGTTTCTTCTCACTGCTGAAGTGAGTCTCATGTTAAGCAGTATCACTCCTGTTTATTTTAAAATTTGCCACCTCTAGAAAATGGTAAGTAAGCTAGTTAAAAATGTATCTAAAATACAAGGAATGAATGTGTGAGAACTGAGGGGTCCTTCTTTGTGCAAACATAAGGGTTTTCATTCACGGAGCCTGTCCCATATACTGTGCCTTCTCAGAGCTACTTCATGTTTGTTGTTTTGTTTTGTTTTTTAAATTATGGGTCTTATTAAATAAGTTAACTTTAGTTAGGTGAGAAGTCATTTCCCTTAAAAGCATAAATATACACAAAAGATAAGTCATGCTCAAATTGGTCAGTTCATTCTTTAATGAGTTAATTTTACGAGTTAAGTTTTGTTCTGTTTGCAAAACGTTTATCAGTAACTTTTCAGGAGTTCATTTGCTGTGTGGCGTGATGATCACCTGGTTAAACAGGTCAAATCAAGCTCTTAACACCTGAATTTATTCACATCTCTGTATAAGCAGGGAGAAGAATTTTTGTTTCTTTCTTATTGTTTTATTTTGATGTATTTGTGATAAGATTGTGACTGTGAGGGAAAGAGGATAAAAAATTAGTTCCTTTTTTATTTTATGTTTTTTAAATTCTCCCTTTTTAATGTCTAAATATGGCTGATAAGTTTAGCATGTTTCTCCTCTCCAGCCCCCTTTCCTTCTCTTCTCTCTCCCTCCCCACAGCCCAAAGTGGGGGCCACCGTGGAGAAACGGCTTTGGAGAGGGTCTACTTTGAGAGTGGGTACTCATGTTTGTTCTCTCTTCCTAAGGTTTGGTAAGAAAACACGCTCTTTGAAATTGAGCAGAGGGAAGAGCTTAGAACATCATGGAATACCAAGTTGAGGATTTCCTGCTCTGAGCAGGCGGGAACCCATCCACCTCTCCGAGGGTGGGCTGTTCCATGGGCTGGTCCAGGTCCCACTGCATTCCACTGTCCCGCCAATCTCTCAGTTAGTCCTAGACCAAGTAGGAAACTAAAATAGGGAAAACCCCAGATCAAAATTCCTGCAGACATGATCCTGGCATGGAGAGAGTCCCTGGCCTCTCTGACCCGAGCCCAGGGGGGAAGCCTCACCTTTCCACTGCAGAGAAAGTGGTTGTTGCTCCTCGCATATAGTGATCGTAGTTGTAGGAGATCATGTCCATTTCCTCCCCATAGTGGCCTGGATATTCTGTTGTCAGCCTTTGTGGGAAGAACAAAAGGTTCGAAGACAGGGATAAAACTATCACTGTTGGGGAGAAGACAGGAGACATGCTACAAGGAGAGATGGAGTTTGAGCATCATGGGAGACCCAAACCAGAGTTGGATGGCCTCCATCAAACCATTCCAGGCTGCAGAAAGATGGACCGCTTCCTCCCACTTCTGATCTTTCTTCTTGCCATTGAACTACACACTAAAAAACGTGCAGAAGACTCCTCAGGCCTTGAGGAAATATTAGTATCAATATTAGCCCATCCATTCAAGTCAACAAGAACCATGTTTTCAAACTATGGCTTGTGACTCTAGTAGATCACGAAATCAATTTAATTAGCTATTACCAAATAAGCTTTAAAAAAGAAAATGAAATAGAATAGAAAACCTCAGAGACTTCATTGTACATATTAATGATAAATTCTTGTGTGTGTGTAAAAACTTTGTTTCAAATACACACGTGTGTAGTTTGTATTATGTGATAGCTTGATACATATTTTTTTTACTGTGAGTCATGATCAAAAAAGTATTTGAAAAACATTAAAGTATACAAGGATAGTCTTTACCTTGCCTGCCATTGTTTCTCTGGCACCTAAAACAACTCCTGGTACATAGTAAGTATTCGCTGAATAAATAAATGGCCTTGGGAGAGTCACGTAATCTCAGTTCCCTGGTCTATAGAAGAATGAGTTACTGTATGGGTTTATCATTGGGACGAATACACCCATGTGTGACATACTAGTACAAGGTAGGAGTTGAATCAGGAGAAATTCTGTTTCTCCTCTTTCTCCTTTCCTTCTTTCTCCTCCAAGATTAAGTCAATCCTGGTCCTCTCTGAGTAGGTTCGCTGTGGTCTACCCTGGAATAAATCTAGAATTTCCTGTTTCTCATAAGTCTTCACCATTGGGGATCTTCAGAACCAAAATAGTCCTTTCAGTATGATGTGAGTTCCCCAAAGCCTTTATCTGCACCCCCAAGGCTGCTTGGCAAACAAACAGTGAGTGTCAGTAATTTAATACAATCTGGGGTCACCAGGTCATTTTATGATGATGATAGAATGATCTTCCCCTATGTAGATTTACTATTGCAAGGATTGTCATGAAACCTTGGAAAGACTGATTTATCAGATGGAAGGTCTCCTAGGAGGATCTCAGTGCTTAGGTGCAACAAGATCAAAGGTTAGCTCAAGATAACCTGGGTTAGCCAGACTCCACTAAGACAACACTCCCTTGTTCATAACCATTCCTCTCCCCATATTATGCGGTTGTCCTTGTTTGCTGATTTTTCTCTTCTCAAGACATAATTATGCTCTATCAGGACACCAAGCCCAACCTGGAGTGGGTTACGTGTATTTCTGCTTAACGTTTATGAAAGGAAATGAAGCTCTGCTAATGTAGAAGTCTCTTTTGTGCTTCTAAAGAGACCTAGAACAAAGACTTCCTCATCCTAGTGAAAATGTTAAATGACTCATAAATGAACCTTATAGGGCCTCACTTGTAATCCACTGGTTAGTGATCCCTGAGGAGTCTAGCAAGGGCTAGATTCAAGTTTACTCAAAGAAAGAGGAGTTTGTAGAGAATGTGGATAATGAAAATTAGGGTTAAAAGAGATGAAGTAGGATGTGTTTTTCTTATATCAGAGAACACAAAATCCAGAACTTTAAAAACACTCTCCAGATACAATGTATAAAGGTTCATTGCTGGGGGAAAGGGTACAGCTCAAGTGGTAGAGTACATGATTACCATGCATGAGGTCCTTAGTTCAATCCCCAGTACCTTCTCTAAAATAAATAAATGAACAAATAAACATAATTACCTCCTTCCCCCACCAAAAAAAAAATAAATTTTTGAAAAAAGTTTAACTGTGAAACATTTTAATATGTGCTGAGGCAGAATCCACATAAGGCAATACTACATTAGGCTAAATCCAACTGCGAAAACTACTTGGAAATTATTAGACTAGATTATTAGTTTTTAAGTTTTTGCTGATCTACCTCCAGATTATTTGGATAGTTAAATACATTGGGAATAAGGTGAGAAAGAGAGGCTTGCATTTTCTTTAAATCACAAACTTCTAAGTTTCAAAGGGGGACAAAAGTCAACCAACACTTTCTTTAATTAGCATTCTCTACTGCTTCATTTTTGGTCGTAACCAAAGGCCTCCTGTTCAAGTGAACAGCTTGTCTGCAAAGCATCTCTTTTGAGAAGATTGTTGTTCAATCAATTTCTGGAATGCCCTGGGGTAGTAGTTAGTATAGATATATATTATCACACTCATTTTAAAAAAGGGAGTAGATAATGGATAATGAAGATGTGGTACACACGTACGTACGTACACACACACACACACACACTCTATAGAAAATTACTCAGCCATAAAAAAGAATGAAATAATGCTATTTGCAGCAACATGGATGGACCTAGAGATTATCATATTAAGTGAAGTAACTCATACAGAGAAAGACAAATATCATATGGTATCACTTACATGTAGAATCTGAAAAAAGATAAAAATTTTATTTACAAACGAGAAATAGACTCACAGACATAGAAAACAAACCATGGTTACAAAAGGGGAAAGAGGGGAGGAGGGATAAATTAGGAGTTTGGGGTTAACAGACACACATTATTATACATAAAACAGATAAATAACAAGGACCTCCTCTATAGCACAGGGAACGGTATTCAATTTCTTGTAATAAGCTACAAGAGAAAAGAATCTTAAAAAACCATATATATACAAATGAAATGCTTTGCTGTACACCTGAAACTAACATTGTAAATCAACTATACTTCAACAAAAAATAAAATTTTAAAAAAGGGAGTAGGTAAAAAAATTAACAAATTATAAATATTATAATATATATAAATATTATAATATATAAATAAAAAAAGAATATATATATATGTGTGTAACTGAATCACTATGCTGTACACCAGAAACTAACACAACATTGTTAATCAATTGTACTTCCATTAAAAATAATAATAATAAAAAGAAAAGGGGGTTCAGATTGAATTTAGTTAAAGAGGCCAATTTTACTCACTGTCAGGGGTTGCTTAAGAACTTTTTAAATTTTTAATAGTTAAAGGAAAGGTCTTTGAATCTCTTCCTCAACAGAAAGTGACTCAGTATACGATTTTATCAAACCCCACCTTTATTACTGACTACTGAGACTTGAACACAAAGTCAGACTTCATAGGTCTAGCATTTATTTTTTGTGTGTCTGACCTGTCAGCACGGGGGACAACTGGACTACCTGGGGTCATCCTAGAGGCTCCACTTGCAGGCTGTGCGCTCCACTGCTGTGCACATGAACTAACAGGGCCGTGACAGCTAGTGTCGCATCCTCGACCTTATTCCACCCTGCGCGATACCAGCGAAGCGCACACCACAGACTTCCTACCATAAAAACTGGAAGAAAAACTCAGCATTGACAAGTTACCAGAGGGCATAACTGAGGAAGCCATACTTCAGATTTCTTCAAAACAAGAATAACCAATGTTTTCCAACCCATTCTTTTAGAGCTCAGCTCATGCTCAACATTTTAGAGAAACTTCTGGTTAATCCAATCTCTGATTCTGTTTTGCTCCTATTTTCTACACTTCCCTATTAGCACCTTATTTTAAATATCCTATTCTAATGTCCTATTATTTGTCAGCACCACATATTTAGCAATTAATAAAAAAACAGGATACTGTCTAGCATCTTGCTTCATGATAATGACCAATACAGTAACTCCTTGAGGAGTCACTGGTACGTGGCAGGTGTATACACCCTTATGACCTAGTTCAGCAGTGGGCATGGAGGAGAAATTCAACATTGGTAGACTTGATGTGTTATGGTTGGCCTGCACTGTACATCCAGCTAAAAAGAGGATTCCCCTTTCTGACAGGCAAATCATTGAGAAGTGTCTTAAATAAACAGAATCTGTTCATGATCAATCCTCTTGCAGAATAAATACTTTTCCAGGTAAGACACAAAGAATGAGAATATTCTAGGTTAGACTAATTTGCCAATCGGCTGGCATCCCCCCTAGGTGCTGCATCAGAACCTGTTTGAATTATCTTTGCAAGGATGAGAAAAAGAAAACACAGTTATACATGAAGGAAAGCAACCTTGAAGGAACAGCTGCCCACAAAGAGCTTCTCTTGCAAAGAGCTGGGGAAATTGATCAAGTGGGACCAAATGGCTCTGTAGTCATCAGAGTGCCCTTCTCTGCAGAGAGACCCTGAGCCCTGGGGGTATGAAAAAGGGTGTAGTATGTTCATGTCTATCCTCCTGGGGCATTTTGAAGATTTATATTTCAAACAGTTCAAATACGTGTCACAACATGGGAAACAGCTCCAGCAATATCTGCGGCTTAAATTAGAAGAGGAAAGTCCCTAAGTATTTTCCAAATTGCTCTCTTGGAAATGAGTTTCCAGCTCCCTGTCCAAGCCCAGAGCTGGTCAGCAGGCGCATTTGTTCTGACTCATGTTGGCTTTCACTGGCCACGTTACATCAGGGTTGCCCTAGTCCTGTAATTGACGGGGACAGCTCCACTGGCAACGTCTCCCCTCCAGCTAAAATAACCACTTGCTTCTGTTTTCAGTACTGGATGCCTACTGTATTGTTCCTAATGCTTCGCCTGTCCAGGTTTTATTTCCTCATTGAGATGGGGAGAGCTCAGAAATGAGCAAACAGCATGGGATGCGGAGGCAGACAGATCTGCTGGGATTGAGTTTGGAACGTTGAACAAGTCACAACTTTACACCTCAATTCCCTCATGTACGTATCGCAATTTCTGTGCATAAGAAGTAAATGAGTTAACATGATAGGTGCTCAATAAATAAAAGTTATCATCATCATCATCATCATCAGGAACTGAATCAAAGTCTTTGAATTGCACTTATTTTACATCCATCTATATTCAGTCCAATTAAATGAATTAATGAATGGAGGAATGAATGATTATTGCTAGAATACAGCAAAGGGGAGCAGACTAGAGA